GGTCGTGGGTATGCAAGAGAAAAGTGGTGATGGTGGGATAAGAGAGATGGAGAGAAGAAGATATGGTGATGGGTTTCTAACTCTCTGCCCTGTGTCTCTATGTGTTCCTTAAATACACAAATAAAATAACAGTAACATGCGTGAATTAAGTAAAACCAGAGAGAAAAAAAAGGAGGGAAAACGTAAAGCATGACACCTGTAGAAACTTGACCAAGAAAAAATCAAAGGGAGGAAAAAAAACTGTTAATAACAAAAATAAAATCTTTATTTTTTAATTTGTAATTTCATTAATAAAATCAAGATTTTTAAAAGAAAACTTTTTTTAAAGAAAATTTAAATTAAAACTTTAGCTTATAAAAAATAATAAAGTAATCTTTTTTAATGAAGATATTTAAAAATAATAATAATAAAAAATAAATTAACCGGACCAATAACGGTGTCTACAATATTTATGACAAACATATAAACGCTTGATTATATTTATAGCCAATATTAGACCACTACGTACCAAGTGATATCTTCACTTACTATTTAATTCGAACAGGGCTTTCTTCCAAAAAGGCGCCAAATTGGGCGCGATCAGAAGATTTCGATGCCCCCATTGAAAAGGGCGGCAAATTTCAGCAGCTCCCATTTCCTCTCTCGTTCTCCGCTCGAACCCTAGAATTTCTCCCCCAAGAATTCCCTACATTCTCCAAAATTCAGAGCAGCACAAGAAATGAAGGGTGGGACGGTTCAGATCAACTGGCACGACACCAAGCCAGTGCTCACCCTCGACTTCCACCCGCTTTCAGGTCTCCTCGCCACCGGCGGAGCCGATTTCGATATCAAGGTCTACACTCGATTTCCCTGACCGCTTCTGATTTTGATTTTTGATGAATTTAAGCTATCGAAGGATGTATTCATGAGTATTTTAGATTTGTGTAGCAACAGACTAATTGTTACCCTCGATTCTACCAGCTTTGGTTATTAAATTCAGGGGAAGGACAGAAAAAAGTCCCCAGTCCTACCTATCAAAACAGCCTTTCTTATCATGGTTCTGCTGTTAACAGCCTTCGCTTCTCGCCTTCAGGTATGTAAGATGTGTGATGTATCTGGGTCCTTCAACTTATGTTTAGAGTCATGTAGCTGCATGCATTTAGTAAAATTCATGGTAGTAATTAGCACTTTCTTTGGAAGATTTCAATGTTTGGTACCGTATCAAGATCAAGCTATGATTTCATCGATGTTATAGCAATTTTTCTTAATATCAGTGCTTCTAAAAGTTTTATCCCCTTTTGAAAACCATCAACCTAATATATACTCTATTTCAAGTCTTTGAACATATAACCAATTTTGACGCCTTGGATTTATTTGGCTGATTAAGGATGCCAGGACCTCAGGGCTTCAAAACGTTCTGTCCCCTTTTGTAAACCATCAACCTAATATGTGTTCTAAATAAGTATTTGAACATGTGATCAAGTTGAATTCTTTGGATGAATTTGGATGACTAAATATTCCAGGATGGAATTTTAAAATAAGAATTTTGTCTCAATGACCTTTTCTATATCAGACTCTACACGATTGGTGCATTATTGATTGATATAAGGTCAAAAAGAGTGAGGGAGGGAGTGGGTATTATCACAATTAATATTGTAATTTTGTAGAAGTCATCTTCAGAGTTAAAACACTTAAAAAATTTTACAAGTTTGTTGATATTCCTCTTATTTCCTCTTCGGTGTCCTGATAAATCAAGATTTCTTCAACAATTAATTTATGTCTTTGACATTTCATCTTGGTTCATTCAAGGTTTTTGGGGTCAATTTGGTGCTTCCATAAAAGGGCTTTTTACTACTAAAAACTAAAAATTTGGCGAGGTGTGAACTAGTATGTTTTGTGGTGTCATTAGCATTAGCATTTTCATTTTAATTTTTTCCTTTTATTGTTTGCTTTCTTATTTCTAGCACCGTACCTTAGAGTTAGAAGTTAATGCGCATCATTTTCTGCAGGAGAACAACTTGCCTCTGGTGCTGATGGTAGTACTTCCGCTGATTGCAGATGTTTCTTTTCAGTACAGATTTGAGACAGTTAGTAAATCCTTGGAGATTTAAGTCTTTATATCTTAGTTTTCATTTCTTACAGGAGGTGAGCTGATCATATGGAAATTGCACCACTTGGAAAATGGCCAGACTTGGAAGGTCCTGAAGACATTATCGTAAGGCCCCTTTTTTCCATTTTAACTTCTTTCTAAGCTATGAAGTTCATAATTAGACGTGAAAACACCCAGTGCAGTAGATTTAAGTTGTTTTCCTGCATGAACTTCCACTAATTGCTGTATTATGTAAATTGGCTAGATTTCACCGTAAGGATGTGCTTGACTTGCAGTGGTCTCATGATGGTGCATATTTGATATCTGGATCTGTAGATAATTCTTGCATCATATGGGATGTAAGCAAAGGTTGAACAAAAGGCACAATAATGAAAGTCCATTTCTTTAATTCAGTTGATCTGTTTTAATAACCATTTAGCTTTTGTTCTTCTTCTCCATGTTCTTCAGGATCTGTCCATCAAATTTTAGATGCCCATTTGCACTATGTTCAAGGTGTGGCATTGGATCCACTGGGCAAGTATGCTGCTTCTCTGAGTTCAGACAGAAGTTGTAGAATCTACGCCTATAAACCCCAAAGCAAAGTAAAAAGCAGTGAGAAAACGAATTATTTTTCTCAGCATGTCATTACCAAGGCAGAAAATGTTTCAGTTGATGATTCTAAGGTAAAAGCTGTCATAGTTTCATAGTTGTTCAAGCAATTGGTATGTTGATGTTACTTGTATTGACAGTGTCATCTATGCTCAACATTGCAGTCTGCCAGAAGCCATCTCTTTCATGACGAGACGTTACCATCTTTCTTCCGAAGGTTGGCCTGGTCACCTGATGGATCATTTTTACTTGTGCCTGCAGGTAATGGCTTGTGTAGACGTTGAATGCTATTTACCATCTATCCACGGTGATTAAGAGATAGTTCATGCGATCAACATTGCCAAGGGATTACAGAGATTGTCCATAACTAGGTCTTTGGCTGGTCTCACTGGTCACATGTTGAGTACTTCTACTGAAAAACAATTCTGTAGTTATATCTGTTTAAACCAACACTAAAAATCAAATGGGATGATAATTCATTCTTTGAGATATCAACAAAAACAGCTATTCACATGCGTCTCAGAACTTTTATTGGTTCCTTTTTATTTTGTTATTCTGTTTTTGTTCTTTTTTTAATTTTCTTTTTGGTTTCGTGTTGTCTGTAAGGTGTCCAAGGTTCTTGATCACTTAGTCTTCTAATGCTTTAGTGTCTATAGTCCAAAGTGTCAGTCATTGTTCGATTTTTCTTTCCTGGCAAGTCTAGAGGGAAGAGCAAAACAGTTCGGATTTTTGTGCTCATGGTCTTTTATTCTCGTTTTAATTGTTTTTTCCTTTTATCATTATGCTAGAGTGGGTCCATGGGATAGGCAAAATTTTGAAGATATGGCTTCATATGATTTGGTAATTTGGAGAGGAACTCGTTTAATAACTAGAGTGGGCTCATATCAATCAACTTTGGCAATGTGCTTCGTTTTTGTTTTCTTTATCTATTTCATTCTCAGCATTTTTCATGTGCGTGGAGAATAAAGTCTCCAATTTTGTTTGCTGTATCATAATTTTATCAGGAGCTACAATACAAGCTACTTTTGGCAACTCAATAAAATATTTTTTATTATTATTTTTAACTGTACGCATCATATTAGGAAAGTATCATTTTCTCTTCTCCTTCCTACAACCTCTTGTTCCTCCATGGTCACTATCATACTTTTTCTCTGCCAACTTCTGTTGATTCGCTGCCTTTCTCTTTCAGGTATTTGTAAAATATCGCCAGCATCGGAACCAGTTAATACAGCCTATATATTTTCAAGAAAGGATCTTTCGAGGCAAGACTAAATTCTTTGTTACTATTAATTTGATAATAATGGTAATCATGATGAAGCAATAATGATAGTGATACCCAGCATCTTTATTATCACTGGTAGTTCAACTTTTGTTTTAGCCGTCCTAAATTTCATTACAGAACATAGCGATATACTTAGAAAAGAATTCAAGCAGAACGAGAATCATTCTTGAATTTTTATCATCGTTTTTTTATCAGGCCTGCTATTCAGCTTCCTGGTGCCAGCAAGCCTGTTGTAGCAGTTCGCTTTTGTCCAAAGCTTTTTAGTCTTAGAGGATTAAATTCAGGTGCTTTGATGATGGTTGCCCTTTTCTATCCATTATTTTCTTAATTAGTTTTAATTTACAGTTACATTGGCTTGAAAAATGATTACTAATTTTTATATCATGAATTGTGCAGGTGGGTTCTTTAAGCTTCCACATCGGGTCATTTTTGCAGTAGTGACATTAAATTCTTTGTACATATATGACACTGAAAGTGTTGTGCCACTAGCAATCATGGCCGGTCTTCACTATGCTGCCATAACAGATGTAGCGTGGTAAAATTTTTGCTCCTTTCTCCTGGCTGTTCTTTTTCGCCCTTTCTTTCTACTACAGTTGCTCATTTTCTCATCTCTGAATTGCTTTTTGTTCTTAAAAGGTCGGCAGATGCACATTATTTAGCATTATCTTCTCAAGATGGATACTGCACTTTGGTGGAATTTGAAAACGATGAACTGGGATCACCATACGCTCTATCAGGTCAGCATTTACATCGTCCTCTCTATCATGTTATCTCAAAATGGTAGTTCGTCTTTCGTTAATTTGTTTCTCAGAGTTTGTTTTCAATCGATATAGAAGATAGAATATGCATGACGACCAGTCAGAACACAAGTCCAATTCAGAAGCCAGATGACCCTACAGGTGTAGTGACTATAAACGATGATCAATATAGGACAACGAAAGCAGAAGCGAAACAAGAAGAAAACAAAAGCCTCGAAAAGCCGAATAACATGGCGGGTGAAAAAGCTTCTAGTGGAGACAATCTTGTTGTATCCCACAGCAGAGGACATGAAATGGAAAAGAAAGCAAGTAAACAGACATCTTTAGGCTCCTCAAGCGACCCTGTTCCCAGCAAGCCAGCCAAAAGGCGCATCACTCCCATGGCTATTGATCCTTGACAAGTACATTTCTAACTGTAAATTCTCTCCATCCTGACGAATTTTCTGATTTCTCAAGAGCATTTTGTTGGCGGGGCTTATCAAATCTTGGTCACTGATGTAGTGGAAATGATCACTTTTACAATGATTGTTGATCTTTATCTATCTCATTTCCCTGGTGATTATAAGATTTCAATGATATTTAGTTCTCCTGAAAAACCTCTATAATATAAGTTCGTTCTTCAGACTAACATGGGCCTTTTCAACATACTTTTCCCATTGCACGCTTTCTAACAGGTCACTCACCTAAAATTGTTTTAGCTACAAAATTTCTATTGCATAAGCTTTTGGAATGAAAGAAAGGTTTTGGTAATTGGCAGTATTGATCATATATTATAGTTTATTTAATTATGTTGTTTTGCCATTTTTTCACTTTCATCTCGTCTCATTTTGATGTGAGGTTAATTCATTAATTTCTCAACATGAACATAATTCATTGAGTAATGTATCGTTACTTTTCTGGATTCAAATCCAAATCCTTACTCTCGTATTTGTGATGTGATATTTTCTAGGGAGAAAAGAAAACGAGTTGGGTCAACTTGTGAACAGGTAAGGTGTTGTAGATGAAATGATTATTTGGGTTAATTGGGTTCCACACAATTGGATATGGAGGAAAATTTGGCATGCGACCCAATCCATAATTGACATCACCCATTCACTCAACTTACAACTTTGTTACACTCATGCCTTGACATGGCCTGTAATTCAAATGTATAATGTTTCTACATTTGTTCGTGAAAATATTACATGAAGTACACTTATAAACCATCTTTCCATTGAGAATTAATGGATGTGAATCAATTTTTTTCATATTCTCTTTAATTCAAATGAGACCTACCTCCATTTCTCGTTCTCATTCCTTATTTCGTGGATCCTACATATTTATTGTGATTACTTTACTACTTTTATCTTGGGTGAGCTATAACTTTTTTTATTAATTATTTTATATTTTTATTATTTCTTTTTCATTTATACAACTTTTATTAGTTGATTCGATTTTATTATAAAACATTATAAATTTATCTTTCAATTTTATTTGTATTAATTTAAATTTGAATTCTATTTTAACAATATTAATGATAATTTCTTTCGTCCTTTACCTAATGAACAGTTATATAATAATAATTTCCAATTGATTGCAACTTTAAATTTTGATGTGTCAACATAAGTATATTTCAGCAGTAATTAAAATCTACTATTCTTTCCTTTAAAGTCGGAGATTAAATTTTGATGCGATCACTTTTATCATTGGACTAGACATATCTTAGGATATTAAAAAAATGTGCTGCTTGATGATGATCTGGATCGGCCTCTTGGCAGCTTGATCTGGATTGGCCTCTTTGTGGCTTGATGACGATCTGGATCGGCCTCTTGGCAGCTTGATGACGATCTTGATCGGCCTCTTGGCAGCTTGATGACGATCTTGATCGGCCTCTTGGCGGTTTGATGATGATCTTGGTCGGCCTCCAACTTGATGATGATCTTGATCGGCTTCCGACTTGATGATGATATTGATTGGCCTCCGACTCGATGATGATCTTGATTGGCCTCCGACTTGATGATGATCTTGATCGGCCTCCGACTTGATGATGATCTTGATCGGCCTCCGACTTGATGATGATCTTGATCGGCTAGACCTTATGAACTTGTTAATCTCGATCATTGATGATATCTTGTTTGCAGGGAGGATTTTGATCAAAGATTGAGGATTTGATCTTAGTTAGATGGTGAATGAACCTCTCTATTTATAGGATCTTTATGGGCTTTAAGTGGACTTGGACCCTGATTATAAGTTCATTGCCACATGACACAATCCAATAGGATCAGCTTATGTCAAAGGACAAATTTTGATTGGACCAATTTATATGCCATATGTGGCACGTCAACTTATGTCATCATATGGTTATAACTTAATTTGATTGGTGGAATTCAAATGCCCAAAAGTAATATGTGACATTATTTAATTGGCCTCAATTTAATGACATATAATTTTGTAATTATAATTACGTGACAATTTATGATTCGTGTTGGTCAAAAATATCATTACCCTCTTTTAATTCTTTTGCAAGAAAAGTTTTGCCAACACGATTCCATACATGGAGGAAGATATATATGCGCCAATTAATGGATCTGAAAAAAATAAATAAATAAAAAAATCTTTGTAATATAACAAAGTGGGGGGACCATTTTTCAAAATCAATGTGCTAATGTTTACTTTTGAATAATATTATTTTAGACCCATTATCTATGGCTTCATTTAAAACTGTGGGAATCAGTCCATATTATGTTGGAATATAGTACTTAACATCAATTTTACTTTACCCTAATAATTAAAACGTTTAAATCTCGAGTAATATCAACCTGGAATAAACCATAAATGATATTACTTATGATTATGAAATTGAAGAGGTAAATTTCTATACCTCATATTTATTGTACTGAAAAAAAAAAGTCGAAGATTTTTCTTACGATATTATTTTTCGTTATTGAATGTTAATAATTTGTGTTGGTAAAATACAGTGTTATGGCAACATTTTGTAAGCTATGGTGACGATTTGCGGCATCTGGGAGATCTAATTAATTTCTTGTAGTGATATACTAAAGATTTAGTACTTTGAATTTTGAGTATTAAGCCTATTTAATTCTTAAATTTTTAAAAAATAATTAATTTTAATTCATATAAGTAGTGTGAACTTTTCCACAATGCAATTAGTAATATCAAAAAACAACATATAATCGATAATAGCATGGATTAACAATTAACGATCTTGTAGATTACTAAGTGTTTACATTGAAGGAAAACCTTCTTAAGATTTAGTTCAATATATATATATATATATATTTTTGAAATGAGAAGACACACTTCATCCCAAAAAAAAAATGTGAGATGAAACATGAAATAGAGGAGGTTAGGAGAAAGCGCTCTCTGTTCAGAGAAAGAGTGGAAATGTCATAATTACAAAAAAAGTCGATTTTGAAGACCAAAGGAAAGTAATAATTTGGATATCATTCTATGTTTTACAAATTATTTTTACTTTAGCCCAACTTTAGTTTTTTTTCTTATTTTTTTTCCCATGAACCTTTTTTATGCTGTTTAATCTTGAGTAATTATAATGTTATTATTTGATGATGAAGATTTTTTAATATGCGTAGGTGGCAATTCGAACTCAAGACCTTTTAGCAAAAATAGATGTCTTAATTTTAGAACTATATCTAGATAATAAAGTTAAAGTTATTAATTCCAACTTAGTCTACTTATTCTTTCACCAATATTATCTTTATTAAAATTTTTATTATATTTATAGAACATGATTTATTACTAGAAACATTCACCCTAAGTAGGGACACCAATAACTCTATTTAAAACATCAAATTTATTCCAACATATATTAGTTTCAACACTTGATCAATCTTGAAGTAATTCAACATGTAAATTCCTTTTTTTAAAAAAAAAAACGTCAACATTCTACCTAAAAGACAAACAAAGTTGTTAGGGAAAAAAGCAAAAGCAAAAAACAAAAGTAAAAACAAAATCTCTTTTCAATTATGATTAGGGAGAGACCGACAACAATGATATCACCACTCACCATTCATCACTCGTCAAAATGTCTTTTTGTTTTTAGGTTAACCAAACCACAGTAACAAAATTAAATTTTTAGACTAATTGGAACTAAATTGATATTAAACCAAACCATTCCAAACTACTATAGAGAGATTAAACGGAAACTTTTAGAACTATCACAACCCAATTTATAATTTTTTTAAAAAGGAGAAACCAAATCATTCATTCAAAAAAATAGTAGGTGAGAACTATCCAAACATATAAAGAAGTTAAATGAAAGCACTTAAAGGGTATAGATATATCATAATTAAAAAAAAGATAGGTCATAACTTATAACCCAGTTTAATTATAATTTAACCTTATAATTAAATATACACAATATTCAAAGTTCAAAGAAATACATGGCAACATAAGCATGCCTACCTCCCTAAATACCGTTGTTTCAATTACCCATCTGTCTTGTACTAAAAAACATCTAAATACATAATTTAGCCTACATCAAATCACGAATTTTATAAATCAAATATGAACATAACTCAACTAGTTAAAGTATATATCTTTAACGAAAAGGCTAGAAGTTCGAATCCATATCGCACAGGTTGAATTAACAAAAAAAAAACGTCAAATTTACCCAAACACCCTAGTTTTAAACATTCCAATGATCTAAAAAGTAAAATTCAAAAGTTAAATATATACACGCAAATACTCAACAAAGTTCAAACGTCTAACTACATGTGACACGAGCATAACTATATAACTTGGTTAAACCTACCTCCCTAAATATTAGAGTTTCAATTATCCATCCCCTAATTGTATAAAAAAAACATCTAAATACATAATTTAGATTCCTTCAAATCATCAAATTTACCCCCAAACACATTAACACACACTAATATATAAACATTCTAATCCATTAATCTAAGAAGGGTAAATTCAAAGCTAGTAAGGAGTCATCAAACCCCTTTAAAATCATCCAACACATGAATTTGATCACATAAAACACACACAAATAAATTCTTACAAAAAACAAAAAAGCCCTCTTCAAATTATGATTAGGGAGAGAGAGAGAGACAAAAAAATATGATGATCACTCACCAACCAAGAAGATCCACAATCCCCAAAACCACACCACAGATATGCTTGAGCCCCTCCTCCCTCCGGCCAAGCTTCGCCGGATAAGGCACCGCCGGCAGTCCTCTGAACCCGTCGCGGCAAACGTTCGCATAATCCGCCGCCGCCGTGATATGCATATAGGCGTAGTCGTAGGTCTCGGCGGCCAAGTCCCGGAGCGACGCCCGCAGCGCCTCGGCGGCGAATGCGTACTTCTCGGAGCATTGCTTGAGGAGTTTCTTGAGGTCGGCGTCGTTGGTGGTGGCGCCGCTGAGGACTTGGGCGGAGAGGTAGGAGGAGGTGGCGGTGGCGTTGGCGGCGCCGATCGCCGCCATGATCGCCGCCAGGCCCTTGGTGTCGGCGGTGAGGCTTGTGGGGTCCGATTTCAGTGAAGTTATGCAGAGCTTGTAGTAAAGGGTGTTTCTGCATGTTTTCTGGATTAGGGTTTGGTCGGCCGCTATTAATGTTCCCAAAAAGATTGTTGATGATACGAGATAGAGGAGAAACAACACCAAATTCTTCATACCCATTTCAGATTTGCCTCAAATTTCAGATCTTTTTTGCTTTTCTCAATGGAAGAGAGAGAGAGAGAGGATAATGAACACTCTCAAGGGAACTCTTTATTCCTTTTCAATTGTAGAGAGAGAACAGTGAATAAGACTCGTTTTTTTGTTCCCTTCTAATGGTAGAGAGAATAAAGAAAATACTTGGGCTCTTACAGAGATAGTGCTCACCAATCAGTATTTAAATATTTTTTATATAACTATTAATGATGTAATATAAATGGTAAATAGAAATAATAATAAATAGATACTAGAAAATTTTTCCTTTTTAGCCATTGACGAGGGAAATGTGAAAGAACCCTTGTTTAATTGTAAATTGGAGAGAATCCAAGTTTTCAAAGACACAACTCAGTTTCAGTCTGAAAAAATTCTCCTTTTTTTTCCCTCACCTTCGCCACATCAAACAGCTTTTTGTCTAGATTTTAAATTAACAACATCAAGAGAATAAAAAAAAAAAAAAAAACTTTACACCAAATCAAGAAGATAAAGATAAAGAAATGACTGAAATGAGAGTTTGAAGAAAGAATGATTAAGATTCTCTCTCAGATTTCAAAACCATTTTAATAATAAAGTGTTTGACTCTGAGCTAGCAAAAGAATTCATGTTAGCCCTTTAATTATTAATGAGATTATTAATTATTATTATTATAAATAAATAAAAAGAATATTGCAGTATATTGAAAGAGTAGGCATTGGGAAAGTTGCAGAGAATGATAGGGGAAGAAGACAGAGAAATCAGAGTCAGAGGGTCACGGGAGAAAATTAAATATAAAAGCCAAATCCAAAGGCAAAGGCATTCCATTTATATATAAAAATAGAAATATGGACAAAGACAAAACGCCATTTTTTAAGGGTTTCTGAAGCTGTGTTTTTTTGTTTGTTTTCACATTTGGCCCTCCATGATTTCTGTACCTTCAATTTCACAGTGAAGAGGGTGGGTAAAACTGGGATTTTCCAATTACCAATTATTGCATGCATCTACCAAAGTTTTCTTTTACTTTTTTTTTAGTTATACGGTTCAAAAGTTCACGAGGTTGAATTCATATCTCTATATTTGTTGTACTAAAAAAAGATTGAAATAAGATTATTTTATTGATGTGAAAGCGAGTATAGCTCAGTGGTAATTAACATATACCTCCATGAATATTGATAAGGTGCACACAAATTGAAAAAAAAAATGTATTAACTAGGCACACAACATTCATCCATTTCTTGGTTGAAAACGAAACTTTAAAAAATATAGAAAGAGAGAATGAATATGTAAGGTGTGGGTATAGTTTAATGGTAAATAAAATGGATTTCTTCCCCTGTGATCTCTAAATTTATAAATAATTGAAATCATGTATATTTGAAATATTATCATTTTATTGAAAAAAAATACAAAATTATATTAAAAAGAAAACAAAATCACATCTTTAATTTAAAATAAAAGGGAAATAATGTGATAAAAAAGTAAACTAAATTATAATGTGTAACTGTCTGTTGTGAGGTCACCAAAGCCAATGATACACCATTTTGAATTGGGTGTTGGCTTCTTGCTGTCATACACAAAATATCCAAAAAGATGGACTCCTTTTTCACACATTATATATTCAACAGCATCAATAATTTAATGTCTAGCTTCTTCATCCTAATCACTAATTAATTAAAACTCTAATTGGGATGTTTTTTCTTAAAGCATTTTGGTCTTAAATGAAATTACTTTTTGTTACTATAAGCTCGCCTAGAGCATACCTATGGAAATTTAAAAAGAAAAACATAGTGATATTAATTAATTTAAGTACTTCTTTCGGTGCTTGTAATCAACTTTTTAAATCAGAAAATTTTGGTTTATAAGAATGTCTTCTAAGACAAACTTTATTCATAATTTTATTGTTGCGAGACAACGCGATATGAAGTCAATTGGCAGCAAGAGGAGTAGAGCATGTCTATTATAAACTCTTGTTAAATCTCTTATGTGGGATCTTTGCCCCTTCAATATCGTGACTGTTTTTAGCTCATCGATCTTGGTCAAATCCCATTCTTTGGATAGGATGTTCATTTGAGTTTTTTGGACTCTGATACTATATTTATATTCATGSACTTCCATCTCAAAATCAATTGACAGCAAAAAAAGTAACTTATATCTATTATAAACTCTTGTTAGAATCCTTATGTGGGATCCTTAACATGCGAGCATAGTTTAGTGAACAAGCTATACGTAATTTTATTGTTAACAGAAAGCGTAGATTCAAACTCTCATCCGATATCTATAACGCAATATTCCATAAATTTGAGAGGAAATCTTGTATTTCTTTTTGCATGTGAACAAAAAGCATTAAGGTATCCTTTTGAGAATGAAGTCTCTGCAACTGTTCACGTGTTATGTTTGGAACTTATTCCAACAAGTTGCAACATTTTGCAGTTTTCAATGGCATTTATTTTCTGCCCTCTTCTTTATTGTTAGATTCACCTTCCCTTTCTCTTTTCCAAAAAAAAATATATATAAAACCTTAATTCATCATAATAAAATATCATTCTATTTTTTTCCAGATAGTTAAAAAAGACCTCAAAGCATCTGATATTTTAATATCTCCAAGTAAATTTTATAAAAGAAATCATATAATTTAGGGTAAGCGACAGGTGTCAATTAACATATAAATTATAAAGAAGTGACTATGTTAGTGTTTGGTATAACCATTTCTTGTTTCTCATTCTTTTAAAATTTTAAATTAAAAAAATTTAATTTTTAATACGAAAATTAATTTTAAAGTTAAAATTTTCAAATTTTCATGTTATATTTATTTATTTATTTGATATTTATTATGCATTTTATAAGTCAAGATTGATAAATAATGTTTTAATATATGTTTGGGAAAAAAGTAAACAAACAAGAAACTTGATTTTGTTGTTTTCAAAATTTCTACCCAATTTTAGAAACATTTTTTACAAATGAAGCATGAGAAACGAAAAATAAGAAATAAGAATAGTCATCAGAACAGTTATGTTTCTAATAACAAACTAAGTGGAAAAAAATGTGGACCAATTGATTATTCTCATGTAAGTTCTATTCATAACCTATTTGATTTTCTCCTTCCACGGGTTAAAAGCATCAACAATAATAAAAGAAATAAGTTATAAAAATAGAAAAATCTTAACATAGCACGGTGATGCAGTGATTATATTAGTTCACCCTAATCTAGAGACTAGGTTCAATCTTTTGCAAAAGCATATTCTACTATGTTTTGGAAGGATTACAATGATAATCTCACTTAAGATATCACCCTAGAATGACTATCTTGCTTCTAATACCCCTAACAATAACTACTTAGGATTACACAAAACATTCGATCTCACTAAACCCACTAGATAAAGATTCATCTAAATACACACTGCCCACAACCATTCAATTCTCTTTTGGTTCTATACACCGAATACAAGCGCCAAACTAATTAGGACTTAAAAAGCCAAGTACATAGCCAAATTGAAAAAGGTCTTGAAAAACCAAAATAGAGGCCGATGTTAGAAAATTTAAACAAATCCTCCAGACCAAGGATCTAAGTATGGAAGAAAACCAAAATTATAAAGACATTAGAATTACCTGAAACCATTAGAGTTGTAGTTTGTGATCTTTCTCAACTATGCAACTCAGACCAAAAGGCAATACTCTCTATTTGATAGAGAACGGGAGGTTTGGGGACCATAACCATATATTTATAGGTTAACCCTAGGATTTCCCATAATCCCTTAAGATTAATGGGGCTGGTTTCTACACAGCAACCACACCTGAAAAAATTAATTCCAACAGCAGAGTCCAAATCGTAGCCCTGCGGCGTTGCTGTTGGGTGTTCTACAACCCTGTTTTGGTTTCATTATCCCAACAAAAATGAGATCAAGAAAAATAAGCCAAATAAGTAATTAAATAAGATTTTACAGACTCGATCCATTACGCAATTTGTAGTATAATTGATTTTGATCATGGAGAGAAATAATCAACTAATCAACTACAACTCTCGATCATATATAAAAATTTGATCAATTAGATTAACTTGCTCTCTCTTTAGGAAGTGATTTGGAGAAACGCAGAAATCCAAACAACATTCACCCATTTAGAAACATTAGAAACATTCTCATTTCTCGTTTAAAACATAATTACATTTAGTAATTATATTTTTTGTTGTTCCAAAATAAGGAAGGAAACAAAAAATAAATACTTGTATTTTCTTGTTTACAGAATTTTTAATACAAGAACATTTCTAAAGAAACAAAAAATACATAAATAATTTCCAAATAGGATCCAATCGAATTCCAAAGACGATAATTATACGGCGGAAAAAAGCCACGAAGGCCGGCCGGGCCAGCCGCCGTCTCTATGCCAGCTCGAAATTAAGACATTAATAAAACACAATAATAATTTTAAAATAATTAATTTATTGTTTTAAGATATTAATACAAGAACATTAGATTTTAATATATCCAAATTAAAAACCCATTGGTTCAAACTAAGAGAGATCCTTGTCATCATTGTCCAAAACTTTACTTCAAACATTTTCTTTTATTATTTAATTTTCCATAAATACCAATCCAAAGCTGTGTGGGAAAAAATGGAGAATCCATATGATCAGTTCATGAAATTGTCAAAAATGGGCATAAAGCAATCAAAGAGTAACAAATCCCATTACAAAGCAAAAAAGAACTTCCTTCTACTTCCAGGTTTATATCCAATCTTTCTTTACAATATTCAACTTTTTTTGCTTTCTTTTTTTCTTTTCAATTCTTGTTTCTAATATTCTTTTATTAATGAAGAAGAAAACAATATACATGCATGCAACCATAGTATTATACATGGTGTTTACTATATGACTTTTTTTTAATCTATTCTTTAAACTCAAAAACAAAAATCGATATCGATCGAAATTACCAATGAGTTTAGCTCAACAGTAATTAGCTATGACAAAACATGCCATGAGTTCGAATCCTCCCACCCCTATTTATTTACGGAAAAAAGATATTCATCGAAACTTGAATAATTATACGTGTTAATAAATATATCATATAATATTGCTAAGCATTATCTAGCGAATTCCTATTATCTAGCGAATTCCTCTTCTTTACCTAATGAGAGATGGCGAATTAACACGTAAAATTGAAAGTTAGGCAGGCACAATAAGAGAGAGAGGTTTTTGTAATTAAAAATAAAAATTAGGCACGTATTTCAGGCTTTAAACCAGAAATTGTTGAAAATATGAATTAAATGGATAGGATTTAAAGAAAATTTTTGGAAATAAGTCATTGCACATGTAGATATCCACCGAAAAAACTCTCTGTGTGGGGACATCCCACGTAAAGATGGCTAATCGGGTGTAGATCTGAACGAGAAAGCTGATGAATAACGAGATAATTAAGAAGGCTAGACATCACGAGTAGAGAGGGCTTCTACCCTTCCCCTTTCATATTTCTTATAGAATGGACTCCTCCTTAGAATTAACGAGATCGTTAGTAGTCTTAGATGAATCTTCTTAAATTGGGTCACCAAGCTACCTTTCTTTTCTACACTACGATCTTTCTTCTCTTATGAAATTCAAAATTTGATCAAAGGCGCTTCTCCCCAATATGAGATTATAAGTTGGCTATGATCCAAATAGTATTTCGATTGGGCTAGGCCTGATTAACTAGATATTGATTAACTACAATCTTGATATTTTCGCGATTAACTAATTATATATTAATTAATCATAATATTGCAATTATTCAAAAATATTCGTATACTTTTTTTATTTTTTTTAAATGGGTGTGACAAAATCACGCTCTAATAATAATAATATATCATTATGGGTGGCTTTTGAACTCTTTATCTAAAAACTAGACCTTTTAGACAGCATTTATCTATTGGTGTGACATACATGAATCGTCAAAAGTTTGATTTTTTCAAATTTCAGCTTATTTAAAATAATAATAATAATAAAAATAAACTTGGATATTGTTTAATCCAAAAAAATATATATAGCTTGGGTAATACTTCTCTTCATCCCATCTCTTTGTATGACTTTGAAATGAAACTATCCAAAAGTTTTGGTCAGCACATCCAATAATTAATAAAGAGAGAAAAAAAAAGGATACACATCTAATTTTTTTTTAGAGGGAGAGAGAAAAAAAAACTTCCAATTTAAAAGTTTTAGTATCCAAAATAAATTTAATTATGTAAAGGGAAGAGCAAGAACTTTATATAGAAACAGATAAAAGTTTTACTACGCTCTTCCAATTTAAATAATTTGAAATTTAGGAAGGCAAATTAGAGAGGAAAATTTTAACATTTTTATCACCTACCTTTTTTTATTTATACATTTTTCTCTGTTCCGTCTCTAACTATATAAAAAACTACACATCCTTCTATAATACAATCATTTTCAATAATTAAATAACATCAGTTTTTTTATTTTTTGAAAAAACTTCCCATGGTTAAGGATCCCACATTAAAAAAAAGACTTTACATAGGTTTTTAATAAACATTGACTACTTATCTCATTGACAATTGATTTTGAGATGGAACTCATAAATATTGATATAGTATCAAAGCTCAAAACGCTCAAACGAGCATCCAATCCAAAAATGAGATCCGACCAAGATCGATAAGCCAAAAGAGCCACGATGGACATGTTAATAAGGATCCCTAAATTTTTTTTCTCAAATTTGACCAAAACCAAAAGTCCAATTTTCTTCGAAAACAAAGAGGTTCATTATTCAACGTTTTTTTTTAGTAAATAAACCAAGCAACCGTGTTGCTGGGGGAAAAAAAGAAAGAAAAGAAAAGAAAAGGAAAAAAAATGAAGAAGAAGAAGAAGAAGAAGAAAAGGTAAGATTCAACTTTCCAAATTGCCCACATTTTAGTATTAAAAAACTTCTAGTTTTGACCCATATTTTGGCATTTCCAATCCAATGTTCTGCCTCTAACTTTTCCTCGACGTGGCCGCCTGATTTTCCTTTTTAAAACCAAAAAAAAAAAATTAAGGGTGGAGATTGGAATTTCTAATTGATGATATATGAGAAATTGAAAACCAACCTAAATTTATTATTACTTTATTTGGAAAAAAAAATATGTAACTTAAAGGAATGAAAATAGCTTGGTATATCATATAGTTTTATTCGAATTATTTTCAAAAATATATATATATAGCTTTATTGGAAATTCCCCTCCACCTCAGGTTGTACTAAAGAATAATGTATTGATATTAATACAATTAATGATTTCAGTGTAATAGATTCCTAAATATAATTAGGAAAATAGTAAATATAAAATGTTTGATTGATATACTTAATTAAATTTCTTGATAAAATAAATCAAATTAATCAAATTATTTATTTATTTATTAAAACTACTCTAAAAGATTATTTATTAGAATTATTAATTAATTAACTAGTATTGTTTCAAAAAAATAATAATTAGCTAATACTAGAATAGGTTTAAAATATTTAATTAATTAATTTAATAGAGGTATTATTTATCTAATAATTATTGTTAATTATTCATCGTTTTTTTAAATTAATTGATTGATTTATATTATTGGTATAAATTTTGATCGTAGATTTCTTTTCTATTCAAAACTCTGATATTTTGATAGATAATACGTCTTAGAATCAGACTATGCTAAGGTTGGTTAAGAAGTACAAATACTATTTAATTTTTTTAATATATGAAACATTTTATGGATATTCAATACTAAATAAAACTATCTTGGGCCTCACTAAACTAATCCAATTACATAATTCAATAATACATTATGATATCTCTAAATCTTTTTCGAATGTCATAGGTCCAAATCTTCTCCCCTAACTTTAAAAGTAAATAAATAAGTTTTTATAACAATAAGTTGATGTATACTTAAATTAATGTTTCATGTTATAAACACGTGAGTACGTCTGTTAGATACATACTACTACTTGACACATGAAATTCAATATAACAAAATTTAAACTCTTTAGCTTCCTAGTATTAGCGCATCCTATACGTCCAAGTATTTAATAAAATAATAATTCAGTGCACGTAAGCTTTATGTTAAAAGGAACTTATGAATTTTTAATACATTATTAGAAGGTTGAAATATTAATTACCAAATACCCAATAAATATATATGATCCGTAGGTGCAAACCATATGCCATAAATGTATAATCCACCGGAAATGCAAACTTCCCAACGTTTTGAAGCCATATTCTTCATCGTCCACAATTTCTCTTATAAAACTTGGTTAATTGTTTTCTCCTTGAGCTTCAAAAATGGAGTTGAAGGTAGAGAACCCCATGTGTAAAAAAGTTCGTAATGTTGGTGAAAATTTTGCCGGAGAAACTTACGGCGACACAGTATGTGCTGACGTGGCCGGCACCGGAGAAGATGCAGAGAGTGCGAGCACGGCCGGGAATTATGGACCGTGCGGGCGGTCGGGGTCGTTCCAGACGGTGGAGATGGACGGCGTTCAGTTCCACGGCACGGCGGAGGAAAGGCTAGCTTGGCTGCGGTCTCAGATTATCGGTGGGGATGCAAAGTTTGATTCTCCCTTTGGAGAAAGACGACTGTGTTATGCTGATCATACGGCTTCTGGTCGTTCTCTTCGTTACATTGAAGATTTCATCCTCACAAAAGTTCTTCCTTTTTATGGTCCTCTCTCTCTCTCATCTAAATTATATATTAGTAGTATTGTAAAAGTTTTTATATATCATTTAAAACAAACAAAAAAAAAATTCCTGATTCTACTTATATAATTCACCCAAAATTATATATATTTGTTGCTAAATTTATGGTGTGTTTGAAAGTTATTTTGGTTGTCATTTTCAAAATTACTTCTCTTTCTCTGATCATTGATAAATTAAAAAATTGATTTTAAGAAAGATTAAATACCGATGTGTTTAGGTGTCAAAATCACTTTCATTTGATGATTTTATAAAAGTTTAAAATAAACTTCTAAGGTATCATTTCATTTAGACGACGATTTTGAAAAATAAATTATACTTTAAATTCCTTTTTCGAAATCACTCGTTCTATCGTTATTCTCAAACACACTCCAAAATCGTTTTAAATTGATTTTTAATTGATTTTTAAGGTATCACTTATATAGTGATTTTGAAAAATAAATTATACTTCAATCTTTTTTTTTTTCAAAATCATTCGTCCTACCATCACTTTCAAACATAACCTTAGTTTTTTTTTCTTCTTTGAATACAATTTTGAAAACAAACGATTATTAATAGCAAAAACTTATTTTCTTTTTAACGAAAAACAAAATTAGAACTTACCGTACATTTGCACTTGCAGGCAACACGCACACCTGTGACAGCTACGTTGGCCACCACACAACAAAGCTGGTGAACGAAGCCACCATGTTCATCAAGAAGAGCTTGGGAGGTGGAGAAGAAGAAGCACTTCTCTTCTGCGGGGCAGGCACCACTGCCGCCATTAAAAGACTTCAAGAAGTGATGGCCATTGCAGTGCCTTCCACTCTGAGAGAGAGAGTAATAGAAACCCTGAAGGAAGATGAGAGATGGGTTGTTTTTGTTGGGCCTTATGAGCACCACTCCAACCTCCTCTCATGGCGGCAGAGTTTGGCAGAAGTTGTAGAGATTGGCATGGATAAGAATGGGCTTTTAGACATTCAGATGCTGAAATCCCAACTTGAGGCTTATAAGAAAGCTGGAAATAGGCCAATTCTGGGCTCTTTCTCAGCTTGTAGTAATGTAACAGGAATTTATTCAGATACAAGAGCTATTGCCACGCTTCTCCATCAATATGGTGGCCATATTTGCTTTGATTTTGCTGCGAGGTACCTGAATTTTGCCCAGTGAAATCAGAGCATCAGTTAAGATTTTGTTACTGAATGTGTTTTGTCTGTGTGTGCAGTGGTCCTTATGTGCAAATTGATATGAGATCAGGGGAAATTGACGGCTATGATGCTATTTTCCTAAGTCCACATAAGTTTCTAGGTGGGCCCGGATCACCTGGAGTTCTTCTGATGAACAAAAGTCTCTATAAGCTGAAATCTTCTCCTCCATCGACTTGTGGGGGTGGCACTGTGAGCTATGTTAATGGCTTCAGCGAAAAGGTAAATATGCAAAACTCACCAGATTTGAGTTTTGTTTGAACAGAATCCAATTGGTTGAAACTGAAAGTTTTGCATGTTTTGATGTCTGTTTCTTTGCTGATGGAAAAAAATCTTCAGGATACACTATATTATGAAGACATAGAAGAGAGGGAAAATGGTGGAACACCACAGATTATAGGAATAATAAGAGCAGCTTTGGCTTTTTGGGTAAAAGAATACATCAGTTACCAAGTGATAGAGAAGGAAGAGCACCACTATGTAGAAAGGGCATTGAAGAGACTTCTCCCAAACAAAAACATCTGTATTTTAGGGAATACGTCTTCAAAGCGACAAGCCATATTGTCTTTTGTCATCTACTCTTCGACGAATTCATCGCCCAACTGTGTCACAGATAGAATATGTAAAGCTAACAGCAGAGAGAAGGTTGAAAAGCTTTACATGTGGGGAGAGACAGGCAGTATGAGAGCAAAACCTCTTCATGGTCCATTTGTTGCAGCGCTTCTGAGCGATCTGTTCGGAATCCAGGCTCGTGGAGGATGCAGCTGTGCTGGTCCCTATGGTCACAGACTGCTCAACATTGATGAAACATGCTCGCATGCCTACAGATCTGCCATAGCTAAGGTATAATCAGTTTGGTCTTTCAATTTTGCATACCATGAAACAATGAGCCTTGTCCTCCGTCTTTGAATTTAATCTTTAACAATTTGACAGGGTTATGCTGGAATAAGACCTGGGTGGACAAGAGTAAGCTTTCCTTACTACCTGCCAAATGAGGAGTTTGAGTTCATTTTAAAAGCTCTAGAGTTTATAGCAGATTATGGACAAAGATTCCTTCCTCTGTATGCCTTCAATTTGAGAACTGGTAGCTGGACAATGAAGAAAAAGGTGCTCGACGATCTACTCGGGAAGGACAATTACAGTAATGGTCACATCTTAGCATTAGAAAAACAGTGTGTCAATACAGAAGCTACGTTAGCAGACATAGTAAGCAAGCATAAATCATATTTAGAAGCTGCCAAAAAAATTTCCAATCTCCTCCCCAAGTTCCCTCTTGAGAGAGAGCTTCACGAGGACATTGAACTGTCTCTTTTATACTTCAGAATCTAGAAAAATACCACATTTTAGGTGCATTGTAATTCTTTGTTAGCATGATATCCAACAAATAAACAATGCACTAGCGAATTCTTTCTTCTATATTCATTTGCTCACTTCTCCAGTTACAATCCCCTCTTCCAAGTTGATTCCACAAAGCACAAATGAAAGAAATAAAATATTTCATTGATAAATATGAATTATGATGTGTGTACAAAACCTTTCGAACCAAACTCAAGAAAACGTTAATTTAAACCAAATAAAGATTTATATGATCCCCATGAACAAATGGTACAATTTACAGGGACTACTACAAACGAATACCTCTTCTCAGTGATGCCAACTTGGGCTGAAACACAATTCCAGCAATTCAGTTATAATCTGCATGAGCTACTTAACTTCAGCAACTTCTCAGAGTCTAAAACAGAACTCCGAGCATCATCTTAATATGGAATATAAGCATCCACGAAGTCTCCACATTGCATAGTTCTCCAAGGTGCAATTTTTCAAATCTTCATCATCTTCAGTGAAACATAAGCACCCACAAGTCACCAACTTACATAGTCATCAAGGATGCAATTTTCCAGACCTCCAGGAATCAGGCATTCACTGCATTTAGTATCCCACCATGATCTGAGAGAAGTATAAACAGAAGCCATCATAATCGCTTCCCCACAATCAGTTGAAAGGATCGAGGGGAACAATCAAAATAAGGGAAAAGTTATTAATAAGTGTGTTAGCTGAAATCTGAATGAAAAAGGCGGCATGATAATAAAGTCTGCAACCCTGCTACAGATCCTACGCATGCAAACATAGAGAGAGACGAGAGACATAAAACGCATACCAATTTCTTCAGGTAAAGTATCCGACTTTATGGGCCATTGCAAAATTCATACTAGAACTAAGAATTTCTATGTTTTTCCTTCCTTTTCCCTCCGAATCAAATAATTGAGAAAGCTGTTTCCTCCATGTTGAAAATGTAGAGTGGCCACGGATATAAGTAGAACAGAGAGAATGCACGACAGTCAAAGACAATAAGAGTATAAGGGTAATAAGGGCTAAGTTAAAGTTTGAACGATGACTAGTCACTAGTTCAGTTTTGCTGGATAACTCCAGATGTACACTCACTATTTTGTTGGGACGTCTATCATAACATTGCAAGTGAAACATTAAAGTTTACAGTTCTGCAACTTTGTTAGGTCATATAGCTAGAGAAAAACAAACAGATATCTAAGGAATAAATGATGAATAACAAAGTTTTCAGGATAGAGTTCTTTTTTCCTTTAGCACTTTTTATTGCTCAAAGAATGTAAGGTTACTTAGAGCTTGGCGTGACTTATTATCTACTAGGGCAAACTCTTGTAATTTCATTTTTTTTTCTTTTTAGGATTTCTCATCCCTTGACATATTTGTATAGCCGTTTATAGTTATCATTATCAGTATCATATTTGTTTTCAATCAATAAGAAGAAGGAAAGACTAACATGGGTGCATGAGTCAGAAGCAATGAGTAGAGAGCTAACACATGAAGAAAATTGTTATTACATTCAAAGGAAATGACTGGCCATCAGAAGTTGTGGCTTCTCTTTGTCTTCTTCAACCTCAGCTGAAGCTTCAGCTTCAGCTCTGATTTCCTGAACCCTCTTTTCCCAGATATCATCAATTAGTTTCCATGTTTCGTCATTAACAACTTGTGTCTGCATGGGGATTCAATTTGTAGAGGGAAGATCACATTTCAGTATGTTGACATTGAGGATTGCGTTTAAAAGAAAAAACTGAGCATTATAGATGGTTGTGTACCTCCATAGGTCGAGGCGCACCAAAAGTTGCGAATCCAGCATTTCCAGGTGCAAATGTAACCCTTCCAGGCAGTGTAACTCCATAAATTCCCCACCGTCCAGCATATAGCAGAGCTCCATGTTCATCAACTGGACGCACAGCAGGCTGATAAGGTGCAACAAAAATTTTCCTTAATTCCCATTCTTTAGACTAAAAAATGAAAATGATCAGGGACATCAAATTAAGTCGAGGCACCAACAGACCTAATAGTTTGAAGACACTGATAAACAGACAAAACTAACAACCACCATGTGAGAGTAAACAAGCTATGACAATTTTTCAATAATGTCAATACATTTTTCTGAAGTCGAAGAAAAACCACCTGTGGAAATCGAGGAGCCTTTTCATATATGTGCCAGATTTCCTCAGCTCTAATCTCTCCCTTTTCAAGTAAAATATCTGCATAATACAGATGCTCTATGGTCAGGAAGTGATAGAATTTGGATGATACTGATTCATTACTTAACAGAAATCCTTCATCAATTTCTAGTCACATCTTAATATTTAAGCTTAAGTACTATAAAGATCATTAACCACATGCATAAATTGGAACAAAGAATTACATAAATCAATATGACCTGTGATTGTCTCTACAGCAGAATGGTATTCTCTCAAAATAGAGGAACATTTTTCCACAGCATAACGCAGGTATTCCTCACGAAGTGCTTCAAGTTTGGATGCAAGCTGTAGAAAATATTCAAATTAACGGAGTTATTGAAATAGGTTATTATTTAGAAAATAACAATAATAGAGACTTGAAAGAGTATTAAGCTTCAATTCGCAGACAAACATTTGGAACAAGGTCACCATGATTCCTGTAATATGCTTTACCAAAAGCTGTCATCCCTGTCTGCAGAATCAAAAATTCTGCCAACTTTGAAGCTTCTAGCGTAGCCTTGGAAGAGATCCAACACAAGTTGTCAACCCCAAACATTTCCTCCTCGATTACTCTTGCTGTGAAAAATCCAGTAAGTATTAATAATTGACATAAAACCAGTGAATAAATTTGTAATTCTAACACAATTTTAACGAGCAAATGTCAACATCCAACAGATTACTATGGAAGCAATATTGATCTTAATTTGGCATTTTTAAAAGGAAATATCAGCATTTAATAGACAACGTAAGAGGGAGGTGGGAGTGGGGAACTAAGAAGCTGAACCAGAAAACGCAAAGCCAATAAATTCATGGCTCTCCATACCCTGGCACCTTATACTCACGTCTAGATTCATGATGTAACTATCGGTAACTACTTTAGTTAGCTTTGAGTAAGTTATTTAGTTACATAGTTAAAGTTGTTAGCTTTTCCCCTATCCCTTGGACATTTCCTATAAATAGCTGGTCATTTGTATCATTTGATACACTTCAATACAAATCTCGTTTTCTCTCAAGATTGCTTACACCAATTTGGTATCAGAGCAACCAACGTCCTTGGATATTTGACATTTGCGGGAAGAAAGAATGCTCCGGTGGGTGTAGATTCTTCACTCGGTGACAAAGAAGTGGAACCAACCACCCCTCTCTCTCCACGGTCATCAACCATTCGCTTGCTGATGGTTGAAGGAGCTGTTGAAAATTTACAGCGGAATGTGGTTGAGGTCAAGCAAATATTGAACGTTTTGGTAGACAAGATAGGCTTGCAAATACAACAAGAACAACCAAGAAAGAAGAATCGCAAGGAGGTTCAAGAACAGGGTACTGCTTTGGGCTGTGAAACACAACAACTGCCAAGAATGATTAAAGAACCTATTCCTCTCAAAGAAACCCATCCTACTCTTCGTCAACATTCTGAAATGGCCCAAAATCAGAACCAAGAACCTTATCCCAGAACCCCTTCTGGCCATCAAGAACCATACTATGCCCTTCCACCGTATCAAGAAAGACAGCAAGAACAGCGTGCTCATCGTCGGTATGATCACTGCCCTCGCCGACGGCAATACCCTGTAGATTCATCTAGTGATGAGGAGGATATGCCACCTTGGGAGTGCCGGCGACAACAGCAGTACAATCCTTACCAACCCCGCGAACCCAGTGAGTACAAGATGAAGGTCGATCTCCCTCCGTTTGATGGCAGATTAGATATCGAAGGCTTTCTTGAATGGATCAAGAACGTGGAAAGCTTTTTTGAATACATGTCGACTCCGGATCACAAGAAGGTAAAACTGGTGGCACTAAAATTGAAAGGCGGGGCTTCCGCTTGGTGGGAACAATTGGACACCAACAGACGACGTTTTGGGAAGGTGCCTATCCGCACTTGGGAGAAGATGAAGAAGCTCATGCACGCCAGGTTTCTACCCATCAATTTTGAGCAAATTCTATACAATCAATACCAAAATTGTAAACAAGGTACACGATCTATAGCCGACTATACCAAGGATTTCCATAGGTTGGGAGTAAGAAAAAATCTTGGGGAGTCAGATCAATACCAAGTGGCTCGTTTTGTTAGTGGTCTTCGGACAGACATCAAAGAAAAGCTTCAGCTCCAACCAATTGGGTATCTTGATGAAGACATTGCCACTGCCATAACCGTAGAGGAACAACAAGCTAATCGGTTTAGGGTACAATACCAACGAAGAACGTCGGGGGACGCTCAGATTGGTTCTTTTAAAAGAGGTACATCCTTCTTTGATAAAACAACACCTGGTTCTGCCTCTACTTCCAAAGGTAAGGGATCTGAGGATACCAAACCTGCTGACCAACCTATCAAGAAGACGGCCAATGTTTACAATAGACCCACATTGGGAAAATGCTTTCGCTGTGGACAAGTGGGCCATTTATCCAATGAATTTCCACAGCGTAAAATGGTTAACTTTGTAGAAGATGACCAAGATTTGGGTGATTCTTGTGTTCATGATTCCAACAGTGATGTTGCCTACCTTGAACCCAATGAAGGAGATCAAGTTTCTTGTGTATTAGAAAGAATTTTACTTGCCCCTAAGACACAAACTATGCCACAAAGACACTCATTATTCCGCACACGATGTACTGTCAATGGTAAGGTTTGTAATATTATCATTGACAGCGGTAGTACTGAAAATTTCGTTTCAAGTAAGTTGGTTTCAAGCTTAAACCTCAAAGTTTCACCTCACCCCACACCTTACAAGATCAGTTGGATCCGAAAAGGTGGTGAGGCCCTTGTTAATGCTCTGTGTACCATTCCCTTATCCATTGGGACTAGCTATAGGGATCAAATTACATGTGACGTCCTCAATATGGATGTTTGTCACATCCTTTTGGGACGTCCATGAAAATTTGATACGCAAGCAATCCATAAGGGTCG